GCCTAAAGATGACTAATGGGGAGGCCCAAAAAGCCACTATCTTGCCATGATATGAGAGAATCACCCTACATCTGTCACCCCCTCCAAGGCTCAGGGACTTTAGCGGAAGATGGATGGGAAGATTGTAAGAGTGGAGGAAAGGGGTGGAGTGTCTCCCAATTGGCTAGTTCCTCCAATGGGTGGGGCCTGCTGCAGAGTGTGGACTACGAAGGGGCTGCTGGGAGCCATCTTGGAACAGAAGCTGCGAGCCATGGGGAAGCCAGAACTGTGAGGAAGTGCTCGAGCCATGGGAACGCGCAGTTTCACGCTGCAGCTCAAGGACAGAATGGTCCAACACATAAGGGACCTGGGGTGAGATCGCAGGCCCCTGAGGCATGAGCGAATGTTAGTGGTGACTATGGTAGTAGTGGCATGGTCTGATATGGTGGGCTCTGAGCCGTGCCACCAGAGGCATGGGGCTAGGCACTGGGTATTCATTCCTTTGTAAGTTAATAAATACACATAAAATATATTATATGGTTTGTCTGATCGTGCAGGAGACCCAGAGGGAATTTGGGCAACACAGAGGCTGGGAGATCTCTGTGAGACTGAGACTAGCCTGGTCTACAAAGTGAGCTCCAGCCAGGGATATGTAGTTAGACTCTGTTTCAAATATATATATATATGTGGCTGGAGAGATGGCTCAGTTGCTCTTGCAGAGGACCTGGGTTCAATTTACAGCACCCACATGGTGGCTCATGACTGCCCATAACTCTAGTTCCAGGGATCCAGCACCCTCTTCTGAGCTTGGAAGAGGTCAGAAGTCAACCTCTGGGGAGTCAATTCTCTCCTTCTACCACGTGGGTCCCAGGGATGGAATCCAGGTTGTCACCTACTGAGCCATTGTACCAGCCTCTATTTTCAGCTTTCTGAGAATCTTCCATACTGATTTCCGCAGGGGCTACACAAGTTCACATTCCCCCCAGAAGGGAATGGGGTTCTTCTTCCACACATCTTACCAGTATTTGGGCTTACAAAGATTGTTGAGGACAATGTGTCATTTAACAAATGTTTTTTAGACACCTGTGACAGTTAGTAGTGATGGTCAACTGGACAAAATCTAGGATTACCTAGGAGAAAGCTCTCTGGGCATGTCTGTCAGCGCCATTACTGTGGACAGCTCCATTCGATGGGCTGGGGTCCTGGACTAAACAACAACCAACCAGAGAAAGTGAGCTGAGCACCAGCTGCCTCACGCTCCTGCCACCAGAATTTGGCTGCCATAATAGACTGTTCCCAAGAACCCTGAGCCAAAATAAGCCCACCTTCCCTAAGTTGCTTTTGTCACAGCGACACGGAAAGTAACTGATAATACATCTGCCTTTGCAATGCAGTGCAGCAATTCACAGATCCTGGCTGTGCTGGGGCTTGGGTCCTTCACCCTCTGTGTACATGGGAATCCATTCAGCTTTTCCAGTTTGAAGTCACAGGTGATTTTTCTGCCTTCCAAAGACCAAAACTCCAAAAGTCAGCAGTCATCCTCATACAGACCCTGGGCTCTTCACAAATAACTGAACAATAAACTAGAAGTTAAAATGCACCTTAAGAGCACAGAGAGTGTTAAAAAGAATAGAGAAGGGAAATATATTACTTTCTGCCCAAGAGTATTGAACAAAGTCCATGGAGTAAAGTGGCATGAATTCAGAAAGATCCAGAAGAAAAAGTAGCTTCACAGCCTGACAGACACTGAACAAGTTTCCTGATTACCAAGGCCTATTTCACAGTAAATGAGAAACACTGGCCATCTCTGCCAGAGACTTAACTGTGGGGATTTTAGACAAGGAGGTGAGCTAGAACACTGGACACAGGAGGGAGCAAGACCAATTCATAGACAGTGCTTACACAGTAAGGAATGAACCTGGGTTAGCCTTTCAGTGTCCAGAGAAGAGGGGGAGGAATTCTGATAGAGGAAAGAAAGAACCCTAGTTCTGCCTTAGTTTCATATCCATTTATACAAAAGGGCTACAAAGCAAGTGCTGTGTACGCAACTTTGGAAGCTTTAAGGCTAAACCAGATATGAATTGTAAGTTTAAGAAGCTCATATTACTGACTGTGGTGGCTCACGCCTTTGATCCCAGCACTTGAGAGGCAGAGGCAGGTGGATAACTGTGAAATTAAGGCCAGTCTGCTCTACATAGCAAATTCTAGGCCAGCTGGGGCTACAGGGAGACCCTGTCTCAAAAAATAAAAAAGAAAGAAGCTCATAGAGACCTTCATCATTCAACTGTTAAACTACTGTGGAAAGTTTTAAAGTCATGTTGCTTATATGTGCAGGTTTTCTTGCTGCTGCTTGTTGTTTGAGACAGGGCCTTACTATATGGTTCAGGCTGGTCTGCAATTTGTGGCAATCCTACTCCCTCAGCTGCCCAAGTGCTGGGGTTATAGGTGTTCACCATGCTTGGTCTATGTGATTGATTTATTTAGGATATTTTTTTTTAAAGAAGAGTTGAAGTCTATTTAAGGAGAAGAGTTCAGAAAGAGAGGTGCTTGGGAAGAGAGTAATGCATACCAGAGAACATGGTGGGCTTCTCAAAGAGGGCACTGATTTAGAGTTTTTGAAACAAGGCTTCCATACGTAGTTCTGCATGGTTTGGAACTTCTTTCTGCCTCCCATGCGTTGGGATCACAGGTGTATGCCACAATGCCTGGCACTGTATGTGGTTTATTTACTTATCCATTTATTTAGAGGTGGGGTTTCATGTAGCTCAGTCTGGCCTCCACACACACACACACAAACAACTTTTTTTTTTTTTTTTTTTTTTTTGGTTTTTTTGAGACGGGGTCTCCCTGTCACCCCAGCTGACCTAGAACTCACTATGTAGACCAGGTTGGCCTTGAACTCACAGAGATCTGCCTGTCTCTCTGCCTCCCAAGTGCTGGGGCTACAGGACAGGCATGTGCCACCTTGCCTGGCTTGCCTCAATCTTTCTATACAGTTGAGGATGACCTTTTCTACCATATTTTATATTAGGGCCAGCAAGTTGGCTCAGCAGGTAAAGGCACTTGCTACTGTGCCTGATGACTAAGTTTGATCCCCAGGACCTGCATGTTGGAGGAAGAAACTGCTGTCACAAGTTGTCCTTTGATGTTCACATGTGTGCTGTGGCATGTACATGTGCCCACACACATGCACACATACAAAATGGATAAATGTAATAAAAAATGAAAAAAAAACATTTATGGGGCTGGAGATTAGATGGCTCAGCAGTCAAAAATGCTCAGTGCTGTTGCAGAGGACCCAGACTTGGGCAGCTTACGACCATCTCTAAGTCCAGCCCCTCTTCTGGTCTCTATGGTACTGCACTGACTTGAACATACAACACACAGACACGCACCTACAGTTAACAATACAAAAAAGACTCAAAATATTTTGTTACAAATATAATTGATGTTTGGGGCTGGAGAAATGACTCAGTGGTTAAGAGCACTGACTGCTCTTACAGAAGACCTGGGTTCGATTCCCAGCATCCACATGGTGGCTAACAACCATCTGTAGCTTCAGTTCCAGGGGATCTGATGCCTTCTTCTGACCTCTGTGGGCATTGCATGACACAGGTGCACTTGCACACATGCAAGCAATCAGTTCATACACATAAAATGAAAATAATAAAATATTTTTAAAAAAATTGACACTCATAAAAATTCAAGGAAGGCAAAGTTATGTAAAATAAATGCCACTTATATCTTCAGAAATAACTGAACACCCATATGTCCCCTTGCAATCACTGTTTTTTTTGTTTTTTTTTTCAATTTTATTTTATTTTTTTTACTTTTTGCCTCTTTTATTTTTCGATTTTTTGAGACAGGCTCTCTCTGTAGCTCCAGCTGCCTGTAGCTAGACCAGGCTGGCTTCAATATCAACAGAGATCATTTGCCTTTCCTGAGTGATGGGATTAAAGGGATATACCACCTTGTCCCACTAATTTTTTTTATGATTTATTTTTATTTTATGAGTGTGAATGCCCCCTTGTATGTATGTGTTTGTATCACACAGGTGAGTGGTGCCTGTGAAGGCCAGAAGATGTTGAATTCATGGAACTAGAGTTACAAATGGTTCAGCCTCCATGTGGGTGCTGAGAACCAAACTGGGGTCCTCTGCAAGAGCAGCCAGTGCTCTTAACCACTAAGCCATCTCTCCCACCCAGAATTTAATGTTTTGTTACTATCCTATATCCATATATGAAGCAGACTCACTCTTCATAACAGCAGTGCAGAATTCCATTTTGTGGGGCGCTATTGCCTATTAACAGTTCGTATTGATAGACATTGAGCTGTGATCTTTTTCTCCTGCTGTAAATTATCTGAGTTGACTATCACACTAATAAACACCTGTGCCTCTGTGCGGCTTACCTGAAGGGAAATTCCCAGTCATGGAACCAGTTTGAAATTTTCATAGATAATGTCAAGTCACTGTCTTAAAGCAATACTTTATACTCCCAGTATAAAGTATAAAGTATGAATGTTTCTCTTTTCCTACTTGGATGTCAACTCTAGTCATTTTTTGAAACAAGTTTACTAATTAATACATCTAGATAAAAAGTGGTCTATTCAATTTACTTTTAAAAAATAAGAGATGGGAGGCCAGGCCAAGGATGCCTTTAATTCTAGCACTTGGAAGGAAGAGTCAGGTGAATCTCTGTGAGTTCAAGGCCAAGCCTAGTCTACATAGCAAGTGCCAGGCCAGCTGTGGATACAGGGAGACCCTTTCTTAAGAGAGAGAGAGAGAGAGAGAGAGAGAGAGAGAGAGATGGCTCAGCTCTTAAGAGCACTGACTGCTCTTGCAGAGGACCCAGGTTCAGTTCTCAGCACCCACATGGCAGCTAACAATCATATATAACTCCAGTTCCACAGGCTCCATGCTGTCTTCTGGCCTCCACAGGCATTGCACGCACATGGTACACTTACAGACATGCAGACAAAACACTCATACACATAAAAAAATTAATATATTAAAAAATACACATATGTGCTTGCTTTGGTATACCAAAATTGGAATGATTTAGAGAATATTAGCATGGACCCTGCACAAGGGTGTCATACAAATTTGTGAAGCCTTCCATATTAAAGAAAAAAAAGACACACATAAAAATAAAATTATAGCTTTTCATGGTGGCACACGCCTTTAATCCCAGCACTTGAGAGGCAGAGGCAGGCAGATCTTTGTGAGTTCGAGGCCA